TGGCAGTGCCACTGTCCCTGTTAGTGACAGCTCAGTCAATGGCAGTGCCACTGTCCCCATTAGTGACAGCCCGGCTGGGAGCAGTGCCACTGTCCCCCTTAGTGACATCATAGACAATGGCAATGCCACTGTCCCTGTTAGTGACAGCCTGGCTGGGGGCAGTGCCACCGTCCCTGTTAGTGACAGCTCAGTCAATGGCAATGCCACTGTCCCCCCTGGGGACATCCCAGTCAATGGCAGTGCCACTGTCCCCATTAGTGACAGTTCAGTCAATGGCAATGCCACTGTCCCCGTTAGTGACAGCCCGGTCAATGGCACTGACACTGTTTCCCTTGGGGACAGCTCAGTCAGTGTCAGTGCCAGTGTCCTACTCAGTGACAGTGCAGTCAATGGCAGTGCCACTGTCCCCGTTAGTGACAGCCCGGTCAATGGCACTGACACGGTTCCCCTTGGGGACAGCTCAGTCAGTGTCAGTGCCACTGTCCCCATTAGTGACAGCCTGGTCAATGGCAGTGCCACTGTCCCCGTTAGTGACAGCTCTGTCAGTGTCAGTGCCAGTGTCCCCATTAGTGACAGCCTGGTCAGTGGCAGTGCCACTGTCCCCGTTAGTGATAGCTCAGTCAGTGTCAGTGCCACTGTCCCCCTTAGTGACAGCTCGGTCAATGGCACTGACACTGTTCCCCTTGGGGACAGCTCAGTCAATGGCAGTGCCACTGTACCCCCTGGGGACAGCTTGGTCAGTGTCAGTGCCACCATCCCCCTTGGAGACAACTCGGTCAATGGCAGTGCCACTATCCCCCTTGGGGACAATGGCAGTGCCAGTGTTCCCCTTAGTGACATCCTGGTCAGTGGCAATGACACTGTCCCCCCTGGGGACAGCTCCGTCAGTGGCAGTGCCACCACTCCCCTTGGGGACAGCCNGTGTCCCTCCGTCCCTGGGACCCCCCCTGTCCTGGTGTCCCTCTGTCCTGGTGTCCCTCTGTCCCTGGGACCCCCCCTTCCTGGTGTCCCCCTGTCCTGCTGTCCCCCTGTCCTGGTCTCCTGCTGTCCCCCTGTGCTGCTGTCCTCCTGTCCTGGTCTCCTGCTGTCCCCCTGTCCTGCTGTCCCCCTGTCCCCAGCCCTGCCGGGGTCACTGCCGGTCTCCCTGTCCCATTTCCGTGGCCCCTGTCCGTGCCCACGATTCCCATTAGAGCCCAGAATGGGATTTACTCCCCTTTTTACCCCAAATTGTCCCTGTTCTCAGCAGGACAGGGCTGCCATGGCTGAGGAAGAGGAGCTGGGCACCAGGGCCACCAGGAAGGGCACCTAAAATGGGATTTATTCCCGTTTTTACCCCAGATTCCCATTTCCCCTGCAGGACACACAGAGGGCTGCCATGGCTGAGGAGGAGGAGCTGGGCACCAGGGCCACCAGGAGGGGCCCTCTGTCAGCTGGCAGTGCCCGGGGCGGTGCCACCGAGTCCAGCACGCTGCTGCAGGAGCTCCGCGGCAACATCTCGTAAGGGCAGCGCCCCAAAATCTGGGAATTCCTCCAATCCCCCAACCCAGAGGGGGCTCATGGGTGGGGGATTGGGAATTCCATCTTGGATCCATCCTGGATCCCTCCTGAATCCATCCTGGATCTCTGAGCCCTGGGGTCCATCCTGGGTCCCCCTCGGGCTCTGGGGGGACCTGAGGAGCCCTGGGTAGAGCCGGAATTGCGATCCCGGGGTTTTTGGGATCGTTCCTCACTCGTGGCCTCTCTCCCCGCAGCAAATCCGTGCAGAGCAAGGTGGACTCCATCCTGGTGAGTGTTGTGGGGATGCTGGGGCAGGGCAGGGCTGTCCTGGGGCTCGCCCCACGGGATCCGTCTCCATCTCCTCCTCTCCCTCTCCCTGTCCTTGTCCCGGAGCGCAGCAGGACGTGCAGAAGTTCTCGGACAGCGACAAACTCTACCTGTACCTGCAACTGCCCTCGGGGCCCAGCCTGGGCGAGAAGAGGTCAGGGGGGACCCGGGGTGGGATGGGNTGGGGTGCCCCGGGTGATGGGGCTGGGGGGGATCGGGGCTTTGGGGTGCCCCGGGTGATTCTGGGCTCTAGGGTGCCACGGGGGATTCCTGCTTTGGGGTCCCCTCGGGTGATTTCGGGGTTCGGGGTCCGCCGGGCCATTCCCGGCCGTCCCTGTCCCTGTCCCCGTCCCCGTCCCTGTCCCTGCTTTCCCTGCCATCAATAAAGTTGTTTCCTGCATCAGCCGCCGCTTGCCGAGGCTCATTCCCGGAAAATCCCGGGACAAACAAATCCCGGGGGGGCCGCGGGCGGAGCCGGGACCGCGGGAAGGGTCTGGGGGAAATTCCCGGCGCTGCCTCTTTTCCCGGGGTTTGCTTCCAGATGGGCATTTTATCCCCATTTTATCCTTTTTATGTTCCCCTCCTTTATTCCCCTATTTTATCCCTGGGGGCTCCTGGAGAAAGTTTTGCCCCGAAATAAAGTGGGATCCAGGTGGATATAAATAAAGTGGGATCATCCAGGTGGATATCTGGGATAAATCCTCCCCTGGCCCAGGTTTTTCCATGGATTCCCCATCCCTGGAATTGCCCCAGCCCAGCTCGGGCAGCTCTTGGAGCCACCTGGGCCAGCAGGAGCCGCCCAAAGGGTTGGACCAGATGAGCTTTGAGATCCCATCCATCCCACAATCCCAAAAAAATCCCACAATCCCAAAATCCCAAACTCGGCAAAGTTCCAAAGCCGGAGCCGGCTCTGACTCAGCCTCACTCCCTGCAATTAAAACCCCGATTTCCAGTTCTCCCCTTCCCGATAAAAATCTCCAGGCTCCCCGAAATTCCTTGGGAATGTGGGATTTCCCCTTCCCCAAAATCCCTGGGAATGTGGGATTTCCTCTTCCCCATTCCAAAGGAGCCCCTGGAAAAGTCGGGAAGTTCCAGATCCTCTTCCCTGCACGTCTCGCATGCCCCGGGAATTTTGGGATTTGGGAATTTGGCAATTCCAGGATTTGGAAATTCGGGAATTCCGGGATTCGGGAATTCAGGAATTTGGGAATTCCAGGAGTTGGGAATTGCGGGACGCACGTGACCCACGGGATGAAATCAATCCAAAGAAAATCCTTTTCCTTTTCCTGCTCCGGAGATCTCCTTGCACACTCCTTCCACGCGCCTTGCACACTCCCTGCACACGTGACACGCGCACGTGACACACCCGTTGCACAACCCCCCACGTGACTTCCCCGCGCGACCCTCCCTTGCACACGCGCACGTGACACACACCCGTTGCACAACCCCCCTCACACGTG